GGACGACTTGTTGGGCCCCTTTTTTTTTTTTTTTTTTTTGTAATGGTTTCTCCTGCTTTTTAGGAGAAAAAGAAAAAAAAAAAAAAAATGACCCACAAATCTCAACTTGTATCTCTGAATGAAAGTATTAAATGTTTTCTTCTTTCTAACGGCTGCGTCCTCTCTGTGAGTGGGAGATTGGGCTCTGGGGAGAGCAGCTCTGCCTGAACGTCCCCAATTCGCCCCCCCCCTCCCAAAACCCAGCAGCTGGATGGTGGCTGCAGCCCCCGAGGCCACCAGGACCACCCCTCACCACAGGGCCACCACCATGTCCCCAAGCCAGTGGAGCTGGACACTGGCCACCTCTCAGGAACTGCTCTTTAATCAACTACCACTTCCACAAACAACTTACAGCCCAGAGTCCCACCACCATCACCCCCCCAGGGCAGGGGTGGGGGGTCCCGGGACCCCTCGGGCGAGCCCCCAGGAGCGATGTGGTGTCCCCACGGCGCTGCCCCACACGGGGTCTGGATGAGCCCCTCGGACTGGATGGGGGGGGGCTGCCAAGCTCAGCCCCCCAGCTGCTGGGAAGGCACCTGGTCAGAGTCGAGGAGGGGGGTCCCGGCCCCTCAGCCGCTGAGCTTGAGGAGGCTGTAGATCTGCTCCAGGATGTGGGTGAAGCTCTGGTCTTTGGGGGTGCGGGAGGCCAGGGAGCCCTGAGGAGGGGACACGGCCCAGTTCATGGAAACTGGGATGGCTTGGAGCTGGGACCCCGGCTGGAGCCCCCTCCACACCCAGCCCAGGAATCATAGAGTCATAGAATGGTTTGGGTTGGGAGGGACACTAAAGATCATCAAGTGCTACCCCTGGACACCTCCCACCAGCCCAGGTTGCTCCAAGCCCCCTCCACCCTGCCCTTGAACCCCTCCAGGGATGGGGCAGCCACAGCTTCTCTGGCCAACCTGGGCCAGGCTCTCACCACCCTCACACCAAACAAGTTCTTCCCCACAGCTCAGCTCCATCTCCCCTCTTTCAGTGTCAAACCCTTCCCCCTCCTCCTAGGGCTCCCCTCCCTCATCCAGAGTCCCTCCCCATCTCTCCTGGAGCCCCTTGAGGGACTGGAAGGGGCTCCAAGGTCTCCCCGGAGCCTTCTCTTCTCCAGGCTGAACCCCCCAACTCTCTCAGCCCCCCCTCCCAGCAGAGGGGCTCCAGCCCTCCCAGCATCTCCGGGGCCTCCTCTGGCCCCGCTCCAACAGGTCCATGTCCTTCTGATGTTGGTGGCCCCAGAGCTGGAGGCAGCACTGGGAGGGGGGGGTGTGTCTCCCCAGATCGGAGCAGAGGGGCACAATCCCCCCCTCCTTGCCCTGCTGAACACGCAGCTTCTCACCCACCAACACCCCCAGGTCCTTCTCCTCACCTTCAGTTTGTCCAGGTAGGTCTGATCCTGACTCCACAGCTCCTGAAACTTCACCAGGTCTGGGGCCCCCTTGTAAAACTCCACCAGCAGCGTCTGGGGGGGGGGGGGGGAAAAGGGGCG